CCCCCCAGGTGACTGAAAGGACCTCAAGACTCTGGTTGGATCCAGTGATGAGACTTTGTTGTTGTAGTTTCGATGGTCAAAGTGTTGGTTGAAGTGGTGGCTGTAGTCCTGTCAAAGTGGTGGTCACAGTCTGGATCCGTCAAGGTGGTGGTGGAAGCCCCAGGTTTAGGAGGCGAACCATGTGGAAGGGCAGCCATCTGTCCTGTGTGTGTTTTTCGCAGGTGGGGGAGGCCAGCCGCCAACTTGATTTGGTCTGATTGGTTTTAACCCAGTTTTATCAGTGTTGTTATTGGCATTGTTCTTGGTAAAGAGTTATTTTTCCACTTACATTCAGGTGTATTTGGTCACTCTCTCTGTATTGGAAAAACCAGGGGTACTGAATTTGAGGGGAAGACTTCTGTCCAAGGTCTCCACCTCGCCGAACTGTCTCAAACCAAGACAGCTAACTATCATCAAAAGCTCATTTGCAAGCACCTGCAAGCAGCATTTTTTGCCAAATAAGAGCAGGCATATTTAATTTGACACAATAAATTTTCTAAAGTACAGAATTAAAAATGTTTGTAGAACAACTACTTGTAACCAAGGCTGATTATAATTATGAGTAGTTCAGCACTGCTGAGGTACCTTGGAATGCTCATTGTTTAACCTGGAAAGTCTACTAAAACATGGTATTAGTATTACCTGAGAATATGCACAAAATAAAGAGTCTCATTGGCTTAATCACTAGAATTTCACATTTAGAAATAAGTAAAAGTGTTATGATCAAAAATTTTTGTGCTAAAACAGTTTGAAGAAAAATAAATAAATAAGCAAATAAAGTAAAAATGCAACAAGAAATAAAAAAAAAAAGGCCAAAAAACCCCCCGACCAAATCCAGTAAACCAAACCAAAACACTGAAAAAATAACTTTATCAGAAAATACATGGACTGGCTATCTTTTGTTAATACATAAATAGGAAGAGTGATTTGAAGACTTAAAGTAAACAGGTGCAAGGTGGTAATACCTTCCCAGACTCTATTATACACTTTTTATTGCACTTCTGCTTTTTTTTAAAGCTTCAAATACAATATAACATACAGAAAACATGTGTCATTGTACCAAAATACTAAAGAACAATCAAGGTTTCAAGATAGGCTTATATTTCCAAGATCCTATTATATGCCTATAACTAGCTGTCTTCGCTAGCATCACCTGCACTCTCTCAAAAACATAAACAGATCTCGTGTATTTCTGCCAAAACTTTATATCCAGAAACTTTTATGCCAAACTCTCAGCATCACAATTTATTTTTCTTTAAGGCAACAAAATGCAGAAAAACCAAAAAAGTTAAAAGACTATCTGTAGAACAATTTAGTTATTTCACTAGGAAAACACATAAGTAAGTTTGTATCAATCACAGTCCTTTGCAGAATTGAGTTTATGAAGGCAGTCTGCTCTTCCTTGTAACCTTGTAATACTACCTGCAAAAAGGCGTCCCTATTGCTAGGTCAATTTCCTTGCAATACAAAGTTTTCTGTACTGAAGTATTCTGACAAGTGAGAATGTTGGGGGCTCTGCACTGTATGCACAGTCAGAAGAATCACTACTATATAGTGAGTTATATTTTTCCTCTTTATGTAAGTGCCAGTTTGGATCCCATCAAATCTGAACAGCAAATAGTGCTCCCTTGGGGTAAGATTTTCTAGTGAACCACTCCATACAAACACTAAAGAGCTGATGATAAAGATATGAATAACCTGTGTACCTTCTCTTGGATTACTGCTGCCTTAATTTTAGGCTCTAAATCATTTTCAAGATCTGTAAGTTATTAGCTCCTGACAGCCTAAAAAGATGGGAAGGAATGAATTGTCTCCTGAGCAACACTTCCTTCCAGCAAGAGATTCCTCTAATACAGAATAAAAAACTATCTGAATAAACATCACTGATGGTTTGTTTGTTTTTTTTCCAATATGTGTCAGAGCTTCAGTTCAGGACTTCAAAAAGTAAAATCTCAAGGATATGAACAGCTACAGCAATCCACAGGTTTGCCATCAACTCATGTTAGATCTCAGTATAGGATGCTTTCTGGATTTTAGTTTTGTGATTACTACTGATGCAGCTGGTATGTCAAGATGGACAGTGTTTTCAAAGGCATATTTTGGGGCTGGTTTACTGGGTTTCAGCAGTGAAACTTTTTTGTTATTATCCCTGTCTTTTGTTATTGTTCCACAACATTTTCATTAATTGGCTTTGCTTGACTTTTCATTATACGTTGGATGCATTTGTACTGATTAATACTGATGGCACTAAGCACGTGGAACTGAGAGTGTAACCTCTTGGTCACAGAGCCAATGCTGATGAAATTAATGTCAAAGTCACTGACTCCAAGTTGCAGCTAATTATAAAGATGATGGTGTTGATACTCACATTTTTTGTATTTCTTCCCCTTGGAAGTGCACATGTCTTACTTTGAAGTAAGGGTGACTGTTAAAGCTTGTTAAAGTTTTAGCTGAAGGACAGTAACAGATAATTTTCTCCCTGTACCCCTGTGGTTACTGTGTTTTTCTGCTTTGTCTGTCTGTATCATTCTCTACTTTTTAGTAAAAACTGTTTTTTTTTGTTTCTACACATTGCTCAAAAAGCCTCATCTCTATTTTCAAATTTACAGTAAGTCCAGGAGGGAGGGTTTCTATTCCATCAGAGGTCCTGCCTTCCTGGCAACATTGTCTTTAACTCAAAACACTTACGCATGCACAGAGAAAAAAATAGAGAAGTTACCCTACTGTTTTTCAATGTACTCCCCAAGCTTTCTGATGGTTGATACTGCTGATGAAAGATCTTATTCCAATTTTTCCTCATAAGATCTGTTCTTCATTATGGCCTTGAATTTCTTCAATGTAGTTGTCAGGATTTTTCAAAGAGCTATAGCTTTCAGCTGGCTCTGTATCACTCTGAACCAGCTTCCCTTAAAAACTGATAGTGCATTTTAGGCACTGAGAGAAAATGGATTACCCCTTTCTACAGCTTTTCTTTTGCTGTAGTAATTGACTGTGTTGAGCCCAAGGAAAAAGCTCTACATTGAAGTTTTGGGTTCTGAGCATGTCCAGAGCCTAAGCAGAAAGGCTTTAGAGAATGCAGTAAGATATGTGCAGCTGCAGGAGGATCTCAGGGAGTGTGTATCTTTGCAGGGTCCAACATTAGTATGATAGAGATTTCTGAAACAGCTGACTCCAATTTTCTTTAATAACTACTCAAAAATCTGAATTCTATAAACTTGCATTTTTTTGTATGTAATCTTCACAACACATTTTATAGTAGTGAGTTCCATAAGTCAACATAAAGCTTTATATGAAGTACTTTCATTTAAATCTATTTTGATGATTTACTTGAATGAGATTTGATTTTGTTATGAGAAATAATGAATATTGCATCTTCTCTAGAGCACTTATTTGTAACTATCCTATCTCCTTCGTAGTGGTTTGTTTTGGTTTGGTTTTTGGAGGTGGATGGTGCAGGTTGTTATTTTTCTTCTTTCTAAAAGATGAGAAACTATTTAGGGTTTAACATTTTTTCTTCAACTTATCAATGTCACCACAGAAGCACTCATCCAGGGGCAATGAAGGATTTGAGCTTGTAGTATTAGTAATAAGGTGAAAGGATAGCAGACTACAAAGAAATTAAAAATAAATGAAGAAAATAACCCTAATGAGCCAATGCTATAAAGCAAAGCCAAGAAACTTAGCTATTTGTATAATTAATTAAAAATACTGTAAGGTAAATGCGTATAGATTAGTCAAGACATCAGAGCTAGTATGTTAATAAGGGAGGTTAAAATACAGCAGGAGGATAGCTATACAAGCAGTATGAAGCAAAAAGAAGTCAATGTTCACACATAACAGCACACGCTGGGTTCTGTACTCATGCCTATTATAAGTTGTGTGGGTAAAATGAACAATTTTCACTTAAAACCACAAAAGATGTAATAATTTTTTTATTTAACATTTAATTGTGCTAAAAAAGGCAATTGCACTGGAACTTATATTAGATTGGTTCCCCCTGCCTCTCCCATGTGTCCTTACATTATCTTTAAAACTCATCACAAATTCACATCAAAACCATTCGATAAAAGCTATGACATGAAAACCATTCTGTGATAGTATACAACCCTTAAGTTTTCTATCTACTGAAAAATCATTAAAGTTCCTATCTCAGTACATGGCAATCTGGTTAATAAAAGACATACTTTAATTTTCAAGTGTATAGTCACTACAGATATGCAAAAGCAGAATTGTTTGTACTCAAAGTCCACCATAACAATAGCTACAGAAAAGACTGGGATTACACAGAATGACAGCACTGAGTCAGAAGGAAGCCCTCAACTGACATAACGTAGAATCTGTAGCAATCAACAGAGCAGAGACCTGTTACAAGCCTTGATAAACTAGGTCTGAAAAAGTGAAGACAGATACATAGCATAACACAATATGGGTCATGTGGGAAGCATGTAGTGGTAAAGTTGCACACTCAACCTCTGCAGCACTTTACACAGAAATATGTTTCAGCTTTCCCAACTGTTTATCTTGAAGGTAATACATTTGTTTGCAAAGGCACATTCTTGAGCAGATACTTCTCTGTTAGTTCCAAATGTCTTCAAGGCCATGTACAGGGGGAGCTGCATTACTCTGAATTTTGCATCTTCAGCATACAGCAAAATACTAAAGGAAATTGAGAAGACTTCAGGCAATCTAAAAAATCTAAACCACAGAAGTAATATATAAAATATGATTTTTAAAGTAAAAAGGACTGTTAAACAGCTATACATTGTCTATTACCTGAATTTGTGTCTTATAAAAGCAGCTGAAAAAAATTCCACAATGCAAATCTTGTTATAAAACAGAAGGCCAACTTAAGCAGTTAAAGTTGAGAAGTTAAGCAGTTAAAGAGACTTTTTTTTAAAAGAGACTTTTTTCTTTTGCCATATTTCACACTTTTCAATAAAAGATTAAAAAAATATACACTTCAATAAAATAGAAAAAAAATCATCCAACAAGAAGTGATTGATGATATAAAAGAAATCTAATATGATGCCTAAGTATATCCTATTCCTGGATTAAGAGTACTGGTGCTGTTTTGTTTTTAAGTACATATGTAGGTCACACTATTTGTGAAAAGCTTCTAGGCGCATTCTGTTTGGATCTTCTGGATGTCTCAGGGCCATTCCGAATCGCAGCAGCAGCTCAACGTAAGGTGGCCAAAACGACTCATTGATTGTTACATAAGGTTCATGTGGTGTGGCCATTAATTTATTTATCAGAATCTGGAAGACCAAAAGGATAAGATTTAGGAAATAAACAAAACAGCCAGATTTTTATCTTCTTTAACCAAATTTATACAACTTCCTGTAATGTAGGCAATATAAGAAATATACTACAGGAGAAATATACTACAGGACTACAGGAGAAATACAAGACCTGTTCAAAGTAAAAGCAAAGAATTTCCAATTAATTTCATTGCATCATTTTTTATGTAAAAATTAGAACCAGAATTCTCCTTTTATTGAGAATAAATACAGACTAAATTCCTTATCTAAATAGAGAATTTGTTACTGGAGTTAAAAACAAAATCAGTTTTGACATGCTGGAGACAGCATTTATGCCCTCATAATATTGCTCATCGGGAATATTGCACACATTACAGATTAAGTAATCTTACCTATCCCATGGTGCTCTTTCTATTGATCCCAGATATTTCATCCTTCCACTCAGAGGTTCTAAATGTTATACTTTCCCAACTTCAGTAAGTACAAAATATTGTCTGCCCCCCTTATTGCTAAAGACAAACTCAAAATCCTTGCTACCAGACTATATTCTTTTTTCACCTGTTGCTATTTAAAAAAAACAAACCCCAAATACACAACTGCTCTTCAGAACATTCCGAAGAATTGTTCCAGTTTTGTACTTATCTGACGCAATTATGAGAATTTACTTCAAATGCATTATTTGAGATGAATTTCTACTTAGTCTCTTTGGTCATCTGATATTCCAAAATAGCCTTTATGGCTGTAACGTTTATATCTGTATGTAAGAAAACACTTTTCAAATTTAACAGGGACTTCAAGCTAGAACCACATCACTCAACAAATAAAAACCTCCCAGAAAACAAAGATAAGGGACACTGACACTTTAGGCCAAGACAATTAAAATTAAAAACAAATCTGAATTTTTCAAATTAGTATGTTCCTCCAAATGGAAATCAGGCATTACTTGGATGTGTTCACATTTTAAGGAGATTAACAATAACATAAAATATGAAGGGCAATTTTTAAGCATTAGAAGAACTTTAAAATTCTAATTCCAAGAGAAACTGTGCCAATTCTAAGTTCTGATCTGTTTTCAAGCTGTGCCTAATTTGACATTAATAGGTATGCTCAGATATCTGAAGCATGTGAAATTATTTTGATGATGCAAGCATAAAGCCCGGGTTTTAAACTAAAGTACAACAATGTCATAGTGATCAGATAACAGCATCTTAGTACCAGAAAGTTTTTATCCATCACATTGTGCCTCAGAAAAAAACTTTTTCCCCCACAGACATTTTATATATATAGATACTTTGAACTGTCTGAAGAGAAAGGATAGAAGAGGAATAAGAAACTTCACTTCAAATGCTACATTTAAGGCAAGAAGGAAAATTATGCTTTGTAATTCAAATTCATAGATTGCACTGTAATTAAAAACTCACACGAAGCACTTATAAAATAAATTAGAAATGCATTAATTGGATCGGTTTCCTCATATGAGAAGATAATCATACCTGAGACTACATATTTGTTGGTCCTTCTGAGATTACACATGAACTGTAACTGTTATTGCATTAAGTTCAGAAATATTTTTATTGAAACAGTACAAAATATAGTGTGAAATGGACCAATTTTTTTGTTAAGCACTGTATTTTTCTCTCCTAATACGAGCCACTAAGGCGCATAAAACTTCTTTAAACTAAACATTACAAAATCAAGAAATAAGAGATAACCACTCTCCAGCTTAAACTGAAGATTATTGCCACAGCTCTTGTAAAAACTGGGGTTTTATTTTGATAGGAATTAAAATAGAAAACTGACTTATCTGAATATCTCTTCTTTCAGTTTAAAACCATTCCCCCTTGTCCTATCACTATCTACCTGTATAAAAAGTTGCTCTCTCTCTTTTTTACAGGCCCCCTTTAGTACTGGAAGGTTGCAATGAGGTCTCCCGAAGCCTTCTTAAAGATGTAAAATTCTTAAACATTCTACATTAACTATCATAACCAAATGCCAGATACTGTCATTCATCTTATTAATATTAATAAATGCATACCATTTTATTGCTATTGTTATTATTATTATATGATCTGAGTATTGAAAAATCCTCCAAATCTCTACATAACAAAACTATCTTACCTCTAAAATCTCTTGCAATGCTAGCAGTTCTACAGCTGGCTCTGAAGAAAAGTTCTGGAAAGATAAACACCCCCACAGCCAAATTAACAAAACCTCAAACTAGTAAGGAAAGATGTTAATTAACAAATGAAAATAATCACACAATTATTTGATTGCATAGTGCACAACAGATGAAAACTTTTACTTAGATTTAATCATGACAGAAATACAAGGTAGTATTTAAAACTACCAGTTCAAAATCCTACACTTCAAATGTAACATTTTTTTAATTATTAAAAGAGATTAATCTTAATTGATCATGTTTCTATTTGTGTTTATATTTAAATAAAACCAAGTTCATCACATTTATAATGTAGTATAGTGCAGAACCTTCTATGAATATGAATATGTTAGGGAAAAAATGTTTTTCATGAGCTTTAGATAAATATTTACAATACAAATTTGACAAAATTCAAGACTTCATTTCATAGTGCTTTCATATTTTTTCATGATTTGCCAATGAATATTTATTTACTCTTACTTTAAATTCAATTTTCAAAAATGAACAGCTTAAGAAATACAATAATCAAAAATTGGGGGGGAGGGATTATTATTATTTCTAATAATAAAAATATTATTAGAAAATTACTTGTTTTCCTTTGTAGCAAGCAAATCAAGCCATTTGTCTATACACCAATAGAGATTCCTTAGGTAGCAACGCTACTGGATCTGCTTGTGCTGTTGCACGGTGAACCTGATTCTTTAATTTTTCAGTTTTATTCTTTTTACCCTTCCACTTCACTTTCAACAAAATTAAGGAGGTAATGCAGCACTGGCAGCTGCTTACTCAGAATTGCTGTTGAATACGTCAATTAAGTCCTAAGATATTAATAGCTGCACTGGACCTTATAGGAACTTCTGGAACAGAAGAAGAATACAAGCAAGAAAGAAAAACTTGTAAAAAGCAAGTTCTGGCACCTTTTTTTCAGTGACACTTTGTAATATTATCACCTTCAGAGTCAGAAGGGGGACACACTGCCTGCTCCGTGGCAATGTTGCAAACCATGGAGGCTCAATAATGCCTATCTTTGTGCCTTTATCTTGATACTTGGCTGAGGAAATAGAACTTACACTAAGTGAAAAACATTCCTTAGAGCAAACATAAGGATACTTCACAGCCTCAGCTGTTTTATTTCCCTGGTCAAAAATACTACTTTGTAACTTAAGGTAGTGGGTTCAATATTCATGTTTCAAAGTTGAAATCAGATTATGACTTCAGCAATTATTAAAACTGATTGTATACAAAGAATAATATCCTAAGGATATTAGTGTGAAGAGGTTTGTACTCTCACAGAACTAGCAAACTTATTTTGCTAGGTTTATCGTACACATTGTATACTTCGTAAAATTATTTTACTTATATATTTTGTCACCGATACAATAAGTACCTTTAATTAATTAATGATTATAAAGTCAATTTAAGCAGGATGCGCAGCATTTAGTTATTTAACCTGAAAGGCACCTTCTTCTCCTTTTTGTCAGATAGATTCACATAAAGAAAATTCCTCAACTTATGACTTTTCATATTCTTCTCTTGAAAAAAAAAAAAGTAGTTTTTTATCCAAGATTTAAAATGCAAGCTAATTCTTACCACAGTCACCACCTATATTAAAGGTGTTGGACTATGGCAAGGGAAGCTGACCTGGGCTGCTGTGACCCAGCCTTCACTCGCACTCCCAATCTCAGATGCATGTGCCTGGTGAAAGAAAGGTAGAACTAGACCAGCGAGGCTTCTAGCAGTTCACACTACTCTGCAGCTGTGTCCTACAAATGTCAGCCACACGTATTTGTCTCATACAGGGCTATTGCGAACATAAGATGTTTCCACAAAGTGCAGCGTACGGGGGACCTGTAGTTAAGCCACTGAGACCCAAATGAGTCAAACGACATAGAAGAAACTGAATTCACAAGGAGTGAAAAGAAAGAAAAAGACATGTCAGAAAACAAACCGTGTTTAAGAGTTCAGGAAATGCATAAATAAAAGTTAAACTAAGGAAAGATAAAACCTTGTGCTGAAATTATTAAAAATAAATTTTTTGTTTTAGTAAAAGTAATTGGTGACAGCCAACATGCCTTCATTGAAGACCAATTGCACCCAACAAATTTGGTGGCCTTTTATGATGGAGTTATAGTGTTGCTGGAGAAGGGAAGAGCAACTGATGTCATCTACCCAGACTTGTGCAAAGCATTTGATATCCTTGCATCCAAAGCATGACATCTGTGGTGGGGGGAAACAGTTTTCCCCCCTAGAGTTATAAAAGTGGTAACCCCCGAGGGGGTGGTGACCCTTGGGGTTTGAGCCAATGAGCGCTCCTGCGAAATATAAACATTATCACACTTAGACCAGAAGAGAAGAGTTGTAGTAGTTGTTGTTGAAGAAGAAGCCATGTTGTGAAGCCACGAGGAGAAGCAGCGGGAGCCCCCACTGGGGGCTGGGCCCCCCCAGCCTCCAGTTGGGGGCCGCAGGGACTCGGAACAGTGTTAAAACTGGACTGAGTATCTGTAGCTGAAAGCTGGGGGAAGCTTCTGCATCGGGAGCAGCAAAGGGAGCAGCGGCAAACAGCACTGACCGAGAAGCGGTGGCAGAGAGCCAGCAGTAGATAAGAAGCAGCAAACAAGCAGCAGAAGCCGATATGCAGTCGAGCAGGAAGACACAGAATTGTCTGAGAGAGCAGAGAGAGAGCCAGTAGCAGAGAGCAGGACTAAGCCACTACAGAGAGAGAGTTTTGGGGGTAAGAACTGAAAACCAAAACTTCCCCCAACTCTCTCCTCTCATAGAGAGGAGGGGGTGGTGGACCCCCACTTGAAAGGGGTCTTGAAGTACAGCAGCACTGCAGAAAGAAGCTAGCAGCCAGCTTGAGTCAGAGCCAGAAGCTCTGCAAGGGGCTTGAATCCCCGAAGATAGGGACTGTCACGAAGACCCCTGCACTTTGTGGTATGACGTGGTGAAGTGACCTTTGTCCCAGTGAACACAGCCCATGGAAGAGAAGACCCTCGTTTTGGAGACGGAGGGCTGAGGGGCTTGGATATCCCCTCATGTGTATTGGCAAAGATCCAGCTGCAGCTGCTGCATTGGAAGAGAGAACGAGACACTGCTGCCCTAGAGAGACTTGCTGCTCATAAGTGGGAAGGATTTTTCTCCTTCTTCCCTCCTGGACTTTTATTTGGAAGGGAGAAGAGATTTGATCCACTGTAAATACTGTATGTCATGGTAGAGATAGTTGAGATTGTGTATGTAGTGTATTATACTATTTATTTGTTGTACAGTCTTGTAATATAACCCTTCCCCCCATTCTGAGTCTCGTGTGGTGTCTGGAAAACCCATCTCACGCTAGGTTGAGATGTGGGAGGGGGGCTAGGAACTAGGGAATTGGATTTTGGGACTCTCAAACCATGACACATCCTTGTCTCTAAATTGGAGAGACTGAGAGCAAAATGTGTCATATTTACTAATAGTGGTAAACGAAGGCATTGGTATGCAGAAAAACTAAGATTAAACAAAATAAGATGTTTGAATAATACATTGAAAAAGATCATCGTGTCTTGAAATCTCCATTTACTATTTTTCTATGCAAAAGATACAAAATACTTATGCGCAAAATCAAGATTTTTTTTAACTAAAAGCTTCCTCAGTTACAAATAACAGATGGAAAGAGACAAGGGTGTAATTAGTTGCTTTGGTGATGGATGTGAGCTAGTAGTTTTGTTTATAATATTGTTTTTTACCAGGTTCCAAAAAGATCAATCCAAGTGAAAACAAATATAGAAAATGGGTATTATTAGGATAAGCCAGGGAATTGAAAAATAGTCTTATGTGAGAAGAACATAAAAGTGTTGCTATTTCAAATAGCAAAACGAAGAAAGAGAAGGTATAAGATTGCTGTCTAAAAATACATCAGAGGAATAAACACAAGAAAGAAAAAGACTATTCTAAGAAAAATACTGGTGCGAGAATAGATAGATCTGTGTTAGACATAGATAAATTTAGACTGGAAGCTACAAGAGTTTCTAACCAGAGTACTGAGGTGCTAAAAAACTCCCAGTAGAAGCAGCAGTAATAAAAATTATCTGTTTTAAAATGGATCTCAATGATAATATTAAAGGAATTATATTTTGTGGTTGTCTGAAATAACAGGGAACTGGATGAAAGAAATCCTTTCTATTTGTGTCATCTTAAGTATGTCTGAAATCAAAATCATGCCCCTGCCTTTAATTTTTAGCTTTTTTGTATCTATCAAATACTAGAGTAATAGTTTTATTTTTACCGCAGACTTTGAATTTATTATGCAAAATACTCCCTGGCTGCCTATTTTCCCTAAAGTTTTGAGATCATTTTTGGCCCAATTTGCCTGAACAAAATCTGATGGTTAACATTCTAAACTACTCTGTAATTATAAACACTTGTCCTTATTGTTCTAAAACCACTGTTAGACAATTAAAATTTGCTTTGCCAAGGAAAACAGGAATCCATTTGCCTAGCTGAGTAAAAAAGAAAATGGGTCAGTTTGGATTGAACCCCCCACCATTTCCAAATTTGGCACAGCTTGCAGTTCAGTAGGAAATACAATACATTATTATGCATTAAGAAAAGAAAATATCCAGCTAGAAACAGCCTTAAATAATATAAACGAACCTGAAATACATAAATTAAACCTAAAGGATCATCTGTAAGAACTATACTTATTTCAAAATATAACTGCAGATTCTATGCTAGTGACTTTAAACAGATACTGCATCTAATAATATAGAAATTGAACATTTTAAATTTAATAGTCATAGAAAAATCTTACCTTGTTTATGGCACTTCCACTATCCTTTGGAAGGGGAAAATGTTCATCCAGGAATTCACCCAGAGCACTCAAGAGTTCTTTCTTATACGTCTTTAATTGCAACATTTTATTGTGCAGTTCCTCCAATCCTCTAATTTCCAAATAGTGAAAACATAGCCATAGAGTATGAAATCAAATAAAATAATTTAAAAGTTCTTCATAAGTAAAAAAACCCCTCATATTCAGTTCTTACAAATGCAGCATCTTGAATGACAGAATATAGTAGCGATATTTTCCATGTTTCAAATCTGGATTACTGAGCAATTATTTGAACTATTTAACAAAACAAAGAGTATGTGTTATGAGTTTGTTTGTTCATTTGCTCCTGTTCATATTTGAATTCTTCAATATAAAAACTCAACAGTGTAGAAATACCTTGTTTTGTAAAGTTGTTCAACTTGGGGTTTTGTCTCTTCTTCAATTCTGTTAAGAGTATTTAGCATCTGTTCCTGTTCCTCATACCACTGCTGTTCTCTTTGAAACATGAAAAGCAGTAAATGGCACAACAGAAAAATAGTTCTTCTGGGCAGTCAAAAAAAAAAGCTTAACAGCATTCTAAATTCCAAATTATTATATTACCTTTTCAGATCTTCTTCTAGTTGTTTATTCTTTGAACAAACTGCTGATAGCACCTTTTCAAGATCATTCTTTACTTTCTGCAACTATAAAAAAGTAAAAATGAAACTACAGTTTGCAGGTAGCCCAGTCTGTAGTATTCATTCTATGTAAGGCTACATCTCTAAATCTGATACAGAGGGCCAAAATGATCTGCAAATTCTTAAGAAATAAGGCTATAGTGTGACACACTATTTTAGAATCCAGTTTAAAATGCAGGAGGCTCTTTAAAATGTTACTGTCACCAGTTGCTCATTAGTGTCCTATTGAAACTCTGCAAAACAACATAGTTAATTTTACCTGAAGCAGATTATGGAGCATACACATGAACTGCTCAGCTGATGAATGACTGAGGAGAAAACGTCTACAGCACCAGGGCTGTATTGTCTGAATCACTGCAACTGCTTGCAAAAATGAATCCATGCTAACTGCACTAACATAAAAAGTATAGAAAACAAAGATGCTGCAAAAGAGACTAATGGCTTCCATGATTTAAATGGTCCTTGATGCTATGGACATATCTGGGAGAGGAAAGAAGGAGAAATAAAACCACTGCAGCCAGAAGCTATAGGCACTGCTGAATCTAGGGAACAGTGGACTCTCAGTGGGCGGGGTCATTCATTACAGAATGGGTAAGGAATACATGTTCAGGAATACATTCAGTGCAGGTGTGCAGCTGCAGTGTGAGCTGCTGGTTGAGCCCCTGGTGGGCTGGAGCCAAAGCCTGAGCCAAGATGCCATGAACTGCTGACCCCTTGCATAACAAAGGGCCCAGGGACCTGTGGGCCAGCCAGGAGACCTAGACACTGAGAGTCTCCCCAGGAGCCAATGACTCTCGGACCTTCCAGAGTTTAGACCAAAAAGGTATAAGGTATATATATATAAGGTATATATAAAGGTATAAAAGGTATAAAAGTTCTGGGTCCCTCCTCAGAGGCACCCTTTGAGCTGTTATTTTGTTATTATTGCACCATTATTAAATTATGTTAAGGATCTGGATGTCTGAGACTTTTGTGGGAAACCTGAGGTCAAGCCTCAGGTACGGATTTCTTACTCAGGAAGGCAAAAGTAAGGAAACCTATCTTAAGGGCAGGTGTCAGAGGATGGGGTGAGGCTCTTTTGAGTGGTGTCCAATGATAAGACAAGGGGCAACAAGCACAAACTTGGAACACAGGAAGTTCCATCTGAAAATGAGGAAAAATTACTTTAATGGAGGGTGAGCACTGTAACAGGCTGCCTAGAAAGGCTGTGGAGTCTCCTTGTTTGGAGATATTCAAAAGCCACCTGGATACAATCCTGTGAGGCACTTAGGGACAGGGTGGATTTGGATAGTTGGATAGAGGCAAAATACTGTTTATTGTGTGTTACTTACTCACTGACTTGTGCAGTAAGTCAGTTTAAAAGCTCATTCGATACAACTAGAAAATTTTAGTAGTTATAATACAGAGGAAAATAAACAATTAGAACAACAACAGTGCCTGAAGGAAAATACACAGTATCTTAGCAGTAGTCCATCCCAAGAACAGTCATAGGAAAATGCAGCAATTTTATATAGTTTTTCTTTTTTTTCCCCAGCAAAAGTTTATTATCTCTTAACAAACAAAAAGACTTACCTCTTCTTTTCCTAATTCTAACAATACATCTGGATTGGTAGAAATTGCTGAAAAATAAAATGAATTGGTGGGTTTTTTTCACTGAATGATAAAGACTTATTTATACTGAAAAGCAGCCCAGCTAGAGAGAAACTTGCGTAGCCTCTAAAAAACCAGTTTGGCTGTCAGCACCAATTTAACCTTATTTTGTGGTGTCTGGCTGGACTAACCTACTATCATGATTCAGCAATTTAAACTAGACTGAAAAAAGTGCAGTGTTAATGCCTCTGTTATACAGTGCAGTTATAATGCCTCTGAATTAGCCCTAGGTATATAGGCATAATGACTGTACATCACATTTCAATATACTTCAATATAACCAAGCCTGATTTTTTTCAGCAGAAGGCATTCCATCAGCATTACTAATGTGGGCAATCAGACTTCACCAGTCTTCCAATTCCGTGTTAAACAGCCTCCAAATGCTTCACCAGGACTATAAATCCTACCATTTTTAAGAACTTAGAAAGCATGTCCCCATCCCTTCTGTTCACAAGAACAGCTACATGCAGGGAGATGAAAGGCCTAGCAATATCAATATTCTAAATCTAACACTGAGCAACAACAGTACTTAATAAGGGAAAGCATGGTACAGTTTAAGAATATGGAAATGTTTCCCCAGAATGCTTCTGCAAAATGCAGTGATTTATGGATCATGGATTTTCAGAATAAAAAGTGAACTGTTGTATTTTACAGCCTTCAGTGCACTCCAGTCAATTCTCACTTCCATGTCAACTTAGAGCATCTACATAAAACTACAACTTTTTTTGAAAGTGAACTATTTGAACACATTAACAGGAGAAATGAAAGCTACTCTAACAGATTTGAATCTTAATATGACAGGGATTTTTTGGTGAAAGTTTGGGCCTCAAATCTCTTAATCTTAAAAATAATTATTTAAATAAAAGCTTTTCCTTTAAGAAAAAGGAAAACCCTTACCCCTTTCCTGAAAGCACTAAACATCTCCTAAATACATACTCTTGATTTCATAAATTTAGAAAAGTACTTTTTTTTGTCATGTTACAGTTTTTACCTCAATAAATTTTGAGAAGCCTTAGCTGAGCAGTTTTAAAAGCAGTGTTTGTTCTGAGATGAAAATCAGAAAAATTACTGAGTTAAAAATACACAAAATTACACATCCCAATAAAATCCCTTTTACTTAGGCAATTACTGTTTCTAAATATTGACACAAAATTTGACTACTACGCTGCCAAATTAACCTTAAGAGCTGCAGGAGGTAGTGGTCTGTGCTATTATTAGAACAATATTTCTTTAATTACATGAATATCCTACACCCCCTGATAAAACTCATTGGTAAACTTTTATTCCCATTAACTGGTGTATTTGAAGAAACCCATACATCTCTTCCTCCTGCAACTTCCTGCTGATGTGATTATTATAAGCCCTCATTTATCAATTATTATCAATCTCTATGATTGGCTTGTAACACTTCCTCATTTTTAGATGCCTAATCCTGAGTTCAAGCTTCCTGTTCAATATTCATATTGAGTGAGTATGAGAATAGAAGGCCACATCTTCCTGGGAAAGAAAACCACTAACTGTAATTTAGTGCAGGAACAACGTAGATCTGAGACATCGGGGCAATGCATTTACAGCTGCCATTGTAAAGTCACTGGTTGTTTTATCTACTAACAGTTAAAGCTTATTCAGTTGTAGAGTCACTACACTTGCAAAAATCAAATGTCAGACAGAACTGTCTAGTGATACAAAGCACAATTACTAAGCAAAATACTATCAGATGCTAGGAAAGTAAAAGCCAGTACCATGCACATGTTTACAGAAACTCCTATTAAAACAAAACAAAAAGGTATTTAGCAGAATACTGTTATTTTGCTAAGAAAAATAGAAATTATGCAGAGACCATGACCGTTTTATACGGTTTAAAACACGATTGCTTTCATTTCCTTAGTTTGCAAAGGTGAAAGTTAAATTCTATTTTTATAAGCCAAATGCTTTTTAAAAAGTTTAAATTCAGCTGATTTAGCAGATCTAGAGCTATATAAATAGCAGCAGAAATGGAGAAAGAACAAGAGACTAAAGTAAAAGCTTTGCAAAAATAAAATTTGCATTGTGAACTCAAGTCTGTTTGCCAATACTGTGCTCAAAAAAATGTAGAACTGCCAAGTTATAACCTCTGAAAATAAGGTTTAAAATTGAAATGCTGACAGGCCCTCATTTACAGGAAATTAACTGGCCACTATCAAAAGCAGAAACCAAAGTAACAAGACAGCCTGACATTCATGCTCTATTAGTAAATTGTATGAAATCAGTATTTCTGCTATTTTCATTTAGATAATTTCAGATAATGTTTTCAATTAAGTAATTCAAGACAAACAGTAGATAGAAAAAAGCCAAGATGGACATATAAATAAGCAAAGTGGACTCATCTTCATACAAGCACTATAACTATATATATTCAAATTCTTAGCAGCAATTTCTTTTTAGTTCCCTTGGAAAGGTAGCCAAAAGGGCAAAGCTTTGGCTGCAAAGTATTATTTGCATTACAATATGCATAGATAATTTCTCTATTAAAAAATTAATAATAAATATTATAGTCTGGGAACAAGTAAGAATAGTTGAACAAAGCAAGCCAGCAAGCCAAAAAAATAGGTCAAGCCCTAAGGATATTTTTAAGCCAATAGCTTAAAGTTTAATACACATATTTTAGTAAGGAAATTTAACAATCCCAGGTATTTCACCCAGATAAAAAATAAGTGCTTTCAATTAATTTGCTTTAAGCCAGCATCTTATTCATGAATAGCAGCAGGGAACCAGTACGTCCTAAATTCATTCAATGCCATATACTTTTGGTCTACATACCTCTCAGAAGTATTTGAGGCTGACAATTCTTGAAGACAGGCTTACAAAGCTGAACTACTTATTTATTCTAATAGGCCAAAAGTATCTATTTATAAGAAAGAAAAACCATTTTTCCCCAGCTTCTCTTATTTGATCATGATATGCAGCAAGTACATGGACTTTGAAAGAAGCTGGAGAACTGCCTTTAATGTTGATCTGAAAAGGCATTTCCATTTGGCCAAATGACAAAACATTGGAATTCACCATAGGCTGTCTAAAACACATTCCTATCAGTTTGTAAACACTAAAAAACCAAGCCTCTTCTGGCTTAAAAATATTCAAATGAGCCAATGTATTAATTTAAAGACTGTTAAGTTTTACTGGGTTGTGCAGGTGCTAACAGGTCCTTGACAGGAGACATAACAGTGAGTGCTACCAGTATACTAATGATAGGGTAGTGTGAACTGATTTAAGAGTCTCCAAATGGGACATCTGAAAACACAGATTACTTTAGTCGCACTTCAATTTTGCATGGTTTTATTTCCATTCTTTGGCCACATCAGCCTTGTGAGAGAGTGAAATCAGTCAGCACTGATGCTTATGTAAAAAGAAAATTTTGAAGAACTGAGGAATTTATACCTTTTGACTGATAATGCTTAACAAATTTTAAAAATCACTTGTGGTTTGTGCTTCACAGGATCAGTAAGTGTCCTAGATTTCTGTTTTGTTAAAATAAAACTCTAGTGTCTTTTACCATCTTATCTTGAGCTGAAATCTCCAATCCCTGTTAAATCCAAAACAGGTATTTTATTATGGTGTAATGGGCTTAACACTAAAGGTCTACTCCAAAGTTTCAACTAATACATCACAATACAACATACTTTTGTGAAGTATTAGTAAAAAAATAATCAGAAGAGGTATGGTTAAAACTATACCTGGGTAAATTATTGTTAGCTTATTAGCAATATTTGCAAAGATGAAAAAAATGTAATAGATTCTTAAAAGAGAAGATGAAGACAATATTATTTGACAAAGTAGTTCTGTTCTAAAAAGGAAACACAAATGAAAGATGGAGAAGAAACAATCACACAGAGAAGAACATGAAGGAGGGTAACAGCATAATGGACTTCCGTTATTTTGTTAGATCTGCTAACAGTTATGTTTCCACTTAATTGACTGATGAATGGTGGTATAAATCATGCATTTATTTGTGCAGAATTATAAGATTAGGTTATAGAGGAAATCACTTTTAAGTCAACTTAGAACTGAAGTGCAAAAAGAATAAAGAAATGAAACATACACGCTACTGTGCAAAGTATTTAATTTTTAAGTAGTACGAAAACACAATCGGCAGACATTCAATATACCAACAGTTTAAAGTGCCTAGATGAAAGAAACTGCAGAAGTTTATATAAGCATCCTTTACAGGGAAACAGTTACTTACTTTCAGGACTTCTCTCATGGCACTCTTGATAATCTACTATTAAAGCTTTCCATTGCAGCATTAACAAGGCAAGCTGTGTAACAAGAAAAGAAGCATCTTTAAAAGTGTTAAGTTGCACTGGTGTAAAATGAGGTAGAACAGGATAGAAGTTAAATTAATAAGTTCATACAGTAGAAGTATTAATAAGTTCATACAGAAGAGCATCTATGACAAAAGAACACTTATTCCTTCAAAATATTTTAAAGTCACTTGTAGGGATCAAAAACATTTATATTATTTTTTCAAAACGGGGAAATGAGAAGGAGTTGGAGTTGGCATTTTCCCCCTAATTTTCTTTGCAGTGACTGCAACTAAAGAGGAGCTACTAGAAGCAATAACAAATACTTCACATCCTGACTTCTCCTTCATGGCTGAACCTGCTCATCCCACAGTTGGACAACATGTCCAGAAGGATACTATGATGGACAGTATCAGAATGACACTTATCAAGAAGAAATTACATAGGCACTAATTAGGAAATAGTCCAAATAGGTATTGAAGTTACACACCTCTCCATTTTGCTGCCTATGTTAATCATTCATCAGTTGTGCGCTTCAAAGTTAGTAAATCTGTCCTTATCTTGACCCATGAGGCTTCAGTTATATTTCCTTTCCAATGTCCAGCTGAGGAGGGACAGGCAGCTTTAGCAGGCACCTGGTGGCAAGACAGGGTCAAACCCACCGCAGATGCACTGAGGGTCCTAAGGGAACTGGCAAATGAAGTGGCAAAGCCACTATCCATCATATTTGAAAAGTCACAGCAGTCTGCTGAAGTTTCTGAATGTAAGAGGGTACACATAACCCGTATTTTTAGAAACAGAAAGATCCAGGGAACTACAGATTTGTCAGTCTCATCTTTGTGCCCAGCAAGATCATGGAGCAGATCCTCCTGTAAAATATGCTGAAGCACATGAAGATGAGAAGGTGATTGGTGTTATGCAACGTGACTTCACTAAGGGCAAATTGTGCCTGACAAATCTGGTGGCCTCCTATAACAGGATTACAGCATTGGTGGATAAGGGCAGAGCAACTGATGTAATCTACCTGGACTTGTGCAAAGCATTTGACACTGTCCTGCACGACATCCTTGTCACTCAAGTGGACAGACACAGATTTGACAGACAGATCACTTGGTGGGTAAGGAACTGGCTGGATGGTTACTCTCAGAGGGGTAGTCAACAGTTCAACGTCCAGGCAAAGACCAGCGATGAGTGGCAATCCTCAGGGGTTGTTTTAGAGACCAGCACTGTGTAACATCTTTGTTGGCAACGTGGACAGTGGGATTGAGTGCTGCCTCGGCAAATTTGCTGACACCAAGCTCTGTGATGCAGCCAACATGCTGGAGGGAAGGGATGCCGTCCAGAGGGACCTGGACAGAATTGAGAGCTGGGCCTGTGCAAAACATGAAGTTCAACAAGACCACATACAAGGTCCTGTACCTGGGGTCAGGGCAAACCCTGGTATCAATACAGTCTGGGGAATGAATGGATTGCAAGTAGCCCTGTCAAGAAAGACCTGGGGATCCTGGTGGATGGAAATCTGGATATGACCCAGCAATGTGCTCTTGCAGCCCAGAAAGACAACCATGTCCTGGGCTGCGCCAAAAGCAGTGTGGTCAGCAGGCTGAGGGAGGGGATTCTGCCCCTCTACTCCACTCTGGTGAGACCCCACCTTGTGGCAGGAAGAATGTAACAAGGAACCATGGGAGTTGTAGTCTTCCGGGTTCTCATGCATGCTTAGACAGTACTTGATTGTCATTGGTTGGAAGATCACATGACATGTTAAGGCGCTGTATTTAAACCTAAGCGTTGGAAATAAACGGCAATTCTGCTCTGGCACTCGTTCGTGTCTGAGTGGGGTTCGTGCCCTTATACAACACCTCACCACCTGAAGTGCTGCAACATCTCTCCTCCTCCTCCGAAGAGAGGCTAGGAGAGTTGACATTGTTCAGCCTGGAGAAGGCTCCGGAAAGACCTTAGAGCAGCCTTGCACTACCTGAATGGTACTTGCAGGCCTAAAAGCAAGCTAGAGAGGGACTACTTACATGAGCATTGTAGTGATAGGGCAAGGGGCAATGGCCTTAAGCCGAGAGAGGACAGGTTTAGATTAGATATTAGGAAGAAATTTTTCATTGTGGGAGTGCAGAGACACTGGAGCAAGTTGCCCAGAGAAACTGCGGATACCCATCCTAGAAGGGTTCCAGACCAGGCTTTGAGCAACCTGATCTACTGAAGGTATCCCTGCCTACGCCAGGGGTGCTGAAAATAGATGACCTTTAAGGTCCCTTCCAACCCAAGCCACTCTATGATTCTACGGTCTTTACAGAAAACAAAATATTTAGTGGAAAACAAAAAAACCCAAAGAACTGTCTTACCTTGGTATCTGATTGTAGCAGTGTTTCTATTCCTAGAAGCATTAGCTTGCTTTGACACTTGGTAGAAAAGAAACAAAACACAAGCAATGTTTGTTTACTCTTCCCTTTTGTAAGAACAGAACACAATGCTTAGAAAGTTCAACATAACTTTTTTAATATAGGAATAAAAGAGTTGTGACTTGGATCCCACCACATCCCTCAGCTCCTTACCCAGAACAGCGACTTAAGAAGTATTTTGAAATCGCACCACAGTAAAGCAGAACTTAATTAACTGGAAAGTAGAAAAGTAGCAGCTAAAAAAAGATGTATCATTTGAGTAAGAAGGCAAATTATGAGGGAAAAGTTCATATCAGGAAAGGCACTGATCATATGAAGAACATAAGAAACTGGGAAAAGAGTCATGGACAAAGCTGAACAGGGAAGCTGCTGAGAAGTTAACACACTTTCTGCTACTCCTCTGGCTCTCCAAAGAGATTAATCGCATTTTAATACACATTTTTAGGTTTAAGTCATTTAGGGCAGTATACTGCACCCTTCAGAAGCGGTCTGATTTTCAGAAGTGCACTACATCAGCTCCCATTACTGCAATGGGAAGTATATGCAGTCTGAAATTCAGGCCACCATAGATATCCAAGGCTTCAACAGGAGACACCTGCTGAACACTTTCTTGTTTCATAACTGTCAGCAATCCAACCTACCCCACGACAGGGCAGGATGTACTCTACTCAACAGTAAAACTACTAAGCAGTACTTTGGAAACCCTGTCGTTAATGTTTGGAAACCAGAACACAACACAGGATTTCTCCTACAAAAACTGCTAATGATGTCACACAATCATTTGAACATTACATCGTAACCATATACCCATGATCCCACTCAATGACTATTAGTTGTTTAAACTTCTTTCTGAAACGTGTGCATTCAGGATGAAAAATCAAAGTAATGAAAATCATACTATTTTTATCAACTTCCAAAAATAACAGACATTATCATTTCCTGTATTATTTTGGGGATTATGGGAATGAGATACAAGATATCTAAGACTTTCAATTACATTCAAAATAGTAAGCATTCTAACTTCCCTTCTAATTTGAAAATTTCAAAGAAAAGTTCAGGTCCTCCAAACACAACTTCAGAAACCCAGACACAGAATTCCCTGCCACTTGTTACATGCGAACTTACCTTATACTCAACAGGAAATAAATCCACGTTAGTATCTTTAAATGTAATTCTGTAAAATTATTGCACTGTAAGTTGTCTGTACATTGTTCTACTTTAAGTTTGGAAATACCTTTACTTCCGTTTTTGAAATTTTACTGTTTTGAACCTACAACTCAGAACTGAAGCAGACAGCATGTAAGTACCATTTAAAATTGAGTGTAGCAATTAAGACTCTGAAAATATAATTTAGAAGATGACCTTTCATGAGACTTGGCAGAATCTTACAGAATGCACAGCATTCCCTCAGAACTGACAGAAGTTTATCTTTCCTGGGATTCCTTAAATAAAACTCATCTGCCCTAAAATGTTATTATTAGCATATTGTACCATATATCAGAGAGAGATAAATTTTAACCATGATGATATAACCATCAGTTTGGATAAGCATTTTTGCAAACATCTTTGTCCTTTTATGCCTCTCCTCCTATTCTCTCCTTTAAGCTCCAAACTTACTTGTGAACAGCACTGGAATCCCATCTTGCGTGAGGCTAAAGAGAGAAGGATCTCAAGTCTCAGTGTGCTGGTACTACCATAAGTAAATAGTTTAATTTTCCGTAATTTAATACATACTCCACACTAACTAAATCATAACACCAGCACATTGTAAACAACCCTTGAATGCAAGGTATCCCTCACCCTGCCAGCACATCTACCTTTGGCCTTATTATTCTTTTTGTTTTGTTGTGATGGTTTCTTTGGAAGAGATGGGGTAAGCAGGCAGTGAATAAAACAATTCTGACAAAAGTTTACAACAAATCTAGTCTATCACTTATGGTTCGCATACCTCTTCCAACTCCTTCCAAATATTGTTGCATTCCTTCAAGAGTTCTTCCTTGGCATCTACAGGACAAAGTTCACTGGTGGGTTCTGCATTAATGGGTTCAGCCTAATAACAAGCAAACAGAATAGTTATCATGTATATCTACAATAATTATTACCAGTTACAGAATCATACCTGCCACTTCAGGTCAAATATGCAACGGAACAATCTTCCTGAATGCAAAGCTTTCAATTAACTCCCCTGCAGTTCTAGATAGCACCCAATTATTAAGTAAAATCAACTAACTATATGACTATAGTAAAATTAGAAGACACTAATAATTTACTTTTAAAATTGAATCACAAAATCCTACATTTTCAAAACTGCTTTGATTACCTGCAATGGCTTTTTTTTTCAACAACTTTAATACAGAAACAATAAGAGAATCTCACATCTACAAAGCCATGCTTTTCCTCCATATATCTGCAAAATTCTTAGGCACTTACTTCCGCTCTGTCTTCCAATAAATGTCCTAATCTATTACTCCTTCATTACAATTCAGAATATTTTTGATTAACAAATTAAAGCATCCTCAAAATTACTAGAAAAACAAACAAAAGAATCTGAAAAATATACAGGCAACCAAGGAAAGAGGGCACCAGGACATACGAGAGAAAAATTAATCCAAGTTAAAATAAAAACCTTGAGAAATGTTGGGTCAGAGAGAAACACACACAAATTCAGAAATTTACTCCTAGTTAAATCTGTTAAGAGATACCCAAATCAGCTAAGAGGGGAAACACAAGAAGGGCCAAAATGGCACTCAAAGGAAACTTTTCTCCCCAAGGTAAAACAACCAAAAGGAACTTCCTAGATGTACTATATGCAGAAAGCCTTTAAAAATACTTAAGTGGATCACTAAGTCCACCAAACACACATAGATTAAAGAGATTAAAAAAAGATAAAGATCTAACATACATCTCTTAATAATGCACAAATTCCTAACTCAACCTTTTGTTCATTTTCAGAACATCAGAGAAAATTATGTCGAAATCCCAAATAAATTAAAAGGAGTCAAATATTCAGCTAGTACTCCCAAAGTTCAAGGATGCCATAGCAGAGTGGATGAGAAAAAAATTAGAACATCTCACTGAATGCTGCAACTATTCTAGAGTACTGAAAGGTAGCAATACTTCTACTAATCTTCCAGGCTAACTTATTGCATCAATAATTAAAAACAGAACCCTAGAATATCTAGCTTGCCATGATCTGATAAAGTCTAAAGAGCATAGTTTTAGCAAAGGAAAATCATTATCTTCTTAAGAGCCTTGGAATGTTTCCATCATATAAAAGAGAACTAGTTCACATAATTTATTAAGACTTCTGAAATGCCTCAGGCAAAGACTGCCCAGAAGAAACTAAGAAATAAACTAAACAGCCTTGAGATGCAATGTACTTTTTTTCTCAGACAAAAAAAACTGTCAAGGAGACAAACAAAGGGGGGTTGAGGGGGGGGGGGGGAAGAAAAGAAAAAAGGAGAGGAAGAAAAAGTACCCAACCTTTTGAAAATTTGGAAAGGGTCTTGGGGTGGAATAAAAAATCCATATTCCCCCTGCTATCCCCTGCAATAATACAATTCATCACCATGAAAGCATTATATGAAATAAAACTCCAAATACACAGCCAGGAAAAAAACCACTATACAAAAATTATCAAATGATTCTGTTATTCATGGCTTTAAATTTCTAGACGTATTTCACACATTTCAGAATGTACACATTGTGAGATATGAGAGGCAAGCCAAACTGACTTGTGATCCTTAATGCTGTGCTCTTAATTACCTTACATAGTGCATATACTGGAGTTTCATATCATATTCAGATGGTTTTTTCTTGTAGCTTGCAGTTTTCCCTATTTCTGTATGGTTAAATTAGGTTTCTATTTTTACACCGTACCTGAAAACTGAAGGCTTTTTTGGCATCTCATGACTATTAATGCATTCCAGTTTCAACACATTACTCCTTCTGACCTTGTTTTAGGACTACATAATTAGGTAAAAACTACATGCAGGGACAAAAAGTGGGCATTGTAGACTCTATGCCAGCCAAGCAGACAGGCAAGCTTTAGGAAAGCGGCAGAATCACATAATCCGTCAGATTAGGAGGGACCACAGAGGGTCATCTGGTCCTAACTCCCTGTTCCAGCGTAGAACACGTTGCACAGGATTGCGTCCAGACGGTTTCTGATTATCTCCAATGAGGGAGACTCCACACCCTCTCTGAGCAACCTGTTCCAGTGCTCGGTCACCCACACATATTCATTTTGGTACCCCCGAAAAGAGCCTGGATCCATCCCCCTGGCACCCTCTCTTCAGATACTTATAGACACCGATGACATGAAATGCGTCATATGCCCAAACACAACGCGATCAACTACTGGAAGATACTCAGAGAGCAGAGAGGAAAGCAACCGCGGCCGCGGGACAAAGGCAGGAAGGCAGGAATTCACCTTAGGAGGGAGAACATATGAAGGACAGAAATAACACCGTAAAAGCGATGACAAAAAAAAAGCAGAAGTGAGGCAGGGAGCCCCCGCACCACCCGAGCGGCGGGGAGGCACAAGGCGAGCGGTCTCCCCTCACGGGCGAGGGGCGAACACCGTCCCTTCCCAGGCGGGAAAAGCCAGCGCAACCCCTCCACGGCAGCCCCACGCCCCAGCAGCCGCGATCCCATCCCGACCCCGCGGTGTCCGAGCGGCAGGACCCCCTCGTTATCCCGGGATCCCGCCGGGAGTCCCCGCCGCCAGCTCCTAACCGTTACTACCATGGCGTCTCCGCGCGCGCCCTTCCTCAGCCTCTGAGTCACTGGCGGAGCGCCCGGCGCGCGGCGGTGACGTACCATCATGGCGGCTGCCGAGCCCGAGTGCAAGCGAAGGGCTCTGGAGGCGGCGGTGGGTGAGGAGCGAGGAGCTGCGGAACTGGGGGAGTACGAAGAGGAGGAGCGCTGGGTCGGGCCGCTCCCAGGGGAGGCCACGCAGGCGAAGAAGAGGAGAGGTAACGGAGGAGCGGAACGTCCACCGGCCGGACCCTGCATTGGGGAGCGCTGCCCCGGGCCGGGTCCGGAGCGGCGGGAGCGGCCCCGGGAGAGGGCGGCTGGACCCATGTGTTCTGGAGCGGTGTCTCCCGTGCAAAATGGCCACGCTGTGTGGGAACCCTTCGGGTGCGGAGTAACAGCCCAGGGGCATCAGGGGCTGAGAAAATTGGGGCTGTTCACCCTGGAGATGAGGAAATTCCGCGGAGAACTCAGAGCAACTTTCCAGTGTCTGAACGGGGCTACAGGAAAACGGAGAGAGACTCTTCGTCAGGAACTGTAGTGACAGGACAGGGAGTAATGGGTTCAAACTGAAAAGGGGAAAGTTTAGGTTAGATATTAGGAAGAAATTCTTCGTTGTGAGGGTAGTGAGATACTGGAACAGGTTGTCCAGGAAGGTTGTGGATGCCCCAACCCTGACACTGTTCAAGGCCAGATTGCAAAAGGCCTTGAGCAACCTGGTCTGTTGGGAGGTATCCCTGCTTATGGTAGGGGGGGTTGGGACAAGATGATCTTTAAGGTCCTTTCCAACCCCTTAACATTCTATGATTTATGATTTCTGCTTCCTCTTGTGGACACTCAGAGCCCCTGCTGTGCAGACTGAAGCCTTGCTGTTTAGGGCTGTGGAGTTCATCTGTTTTCTGGATCATCGCCCTAAAATGGAGATGCCTCTAGGCTGTATTTTGAGGCATGGTATTGATGACTGCAGCAACTCTCAGCTTTCCGGGTGTCATTGTAAAGTAAATGTGTCTCTAACGATGATCAGCACATGCAGGTTCAGTAACAAATGCCATTTGCAGGTGTTAACAGGGTGTAAAAATCAGAGACAAATGCTAAAATCAGATTATTTTGGGTGGGCCAGTTAAACAATGAAAGAGATAGGTGTCAGTACTTGGACTTTAAACTACAAGACCTGGCTGAGACCATGAATCACTTAACAACAGGGATACCTTTTGTTTTGGAATAAAATAAGATGCAGAGAACCTTCGGTTTTCTGGAAGTAAATTGTTGATTTTTATGTTTTTCATATATTGAGACAGCTGAGGTAATAGTTGCTTTAAAAGGGAAAAGCAGTATGAGTTCAAGCGGAGTTAGGGTGGTTTTAGTCCACTAAAAATTCGAGTGCAAAGCCAGACCTAAAAGCCATTGTTTGCACAAAATCCTAGCATATTTTAGACTAAAATATGAATAAGCAATTCAAGTAAAGGAGAACAGAAGCTGTACCTTTATGAAAAAAACCCACTTCCCTGATTTTTCTTTTTATTCTGTGTAGTTCTTGAATTTGAACATGTTTACCTTGAAAATCTACCGTCTGCTTCAATGTATGAACGCAGTTACATGCACAGAGATGTCATTACACATGTAGCATGTACTAAGTAAGTATCTTTTTTCCAGGCTATGTCTTTGTCAGGGGTGTATTTTTATATATGATAAGAAGTTTTCATTTTAAATGTTTAGTAATGGAAAGTTACAGTAACTTTTAAAAGTTTTGGGGTTCTTTTTTGAAAACTAAGGGCAAAGGAAAGGTTTAATTAGAAGGAAGATTAAAAAAATGTTTACATAAAAAAAGGAGGGTCTTAAAATCCTTATCAAAATGTGCAGGATATACAGGAATAAGATTGACTGACTGCCTATGAAAAAGCACCATTCAGCAGATTGCAGAGATCACGCACGTGCGTGCACACACACACATAAATAGTAACTACTGTGAACTAAAATAGGAGTTACATTTACATATTCAGAAAGGATAGTGTTATAATTTTTCGGGGTGTTGACTTTTCATATATTAATCCAGAATGCATTAAAATACCTGTTTGCTTTTCCAGGAGTGATAGTACCCACCCATTCAGACAGATTGTCACAGGAATTTCTTGAAAGTTCATAGTCTACAGAGTGTTAATTGTGGTGCAAATTACTGACCAGTGGGAAAGTGCATAATGTGTTATCTCTTCTTGTTTTTAATTTTCTTTTGTAATTGTAGGACAGATTTTATCATAACAGCCAGTCATGATGGACATGTAAAATTCTGGAAAAAAATAGAAGAAGGGATTGAGTTTGTTAAACACTTCCGAAGTCACCTGGGTGAGAAATTGCTTTTTCTTCTTTAAAGGGCCTCACTTTTTCCTCCCTATTGATTTTGTTGTTTGAAGAGGGAGTGCACATAGAGAGACAGATTCTGGGGTTCATTTAGTGCAGTCAGGAATTAATTGATATTTACCTGTCTTCTTTCATTCCTCTGTCCTGTAATGTTTTGCTCCCAAACTGCAGGAGGGATAGGGTGAGAATAAAACATGTAGGACTCTGCTTGCACAGATCCCCTACATCCTTTGCATTGCCTTGTGCCCTGCCCGTGGGGAGAATATCTGGGACATAACTTAACAACGTACATAACAGGGTTCATAAAATCCAGAAATGTTTAAAAATATGTTGCTTTAAATAAGGTTGTAATTTTTTGTCCCTTGTAGTAAGGAAAAAAGTGTTTTTTTTTCATCTGGAGTTATTGTAACTGTAGAGTAAATTCTACATCATTGTTATGATTATTGGCTGAATTGCAATTAAGAGTAATTTTAACCCAATTTTCTAAGCTAATAAGTACACAAAGTTCTTCAACACTGTGCTGAGTGTTAAATAGACTGAACAGAAAATGATGCTCTCAATGGTGTTAGAAATTATCATATGCCTGAAGGAAAAAACCCCTCAATTTGATATGCTGACTGTTACAGTAAGAAAAATACTTAATAATAGGTAGTATAAGTAGTTTCCTTTTAGAGTTGCAAGAAATATTAAAGCAGGTTCTTGATCTTAGCTATCAGATTCTCATTATATACAGAAGAAAAATGTGAAAACAAAACCTACCAGGCAAAAATACACATTATGAGAAATTTATGGAAGATTCAATTGCAGAGTAATTTTGAGTATTGTGTGTGTAATAGTCTGCAGAGTTCTGCTGCTTTTTCCCTATTGAGAAATGCAAGCTGAAGAGCACCTGATTTTTACCACGTCATAATGTTCTTAATTTTATAAAATCAACATTTTAAATTGAAGTAATTGCCATTAAAATCTTTCCCTTATGTAGATGGTAAGTAGTTCATTGTCACATACCTAAGTCAAAACACTGATAGGATACAAAGTGGTGTTTTGGCATTTTTTTTTTAATAGTAATTTACTGAATTCAGGTAGTCTTTTAAGTAAAAAAGGTAGCAAAACAGTTGGGAGGCTTAAACTTCAGTAGTTTTTTTTCCTATGTAATATTGAAATGAAGGATGTCTTTTCCTGTTTCTTAATAGTATGTTAACCTTATTAACAGGTGTTATTGAGAGTATTGCTGTTAGTTCAGAGGGAGCATTGTTCTGTTCAGTTGGAGATGACAAAGCAATGAAAGTGTTTGATGTAGTCAACTTTGACATGATCAACATGCTGAAACTTGGGTAAGTTACTTAGTTTGGAAGTGTTTGTTTGGGATTATAAATGGGGATCATTTTGCTAAGAGGTAAGTCAATAATTTGGAGTTTTTGATGTTTCTCCCCCACCCCCTCCCTAAATCAGATGAAACTGAGTAAATTTCATTGTCTGAAATGAATCCAATGGCTGGAGACCGCCTGACTGAATAGAAAAAATTGTGACTGTCTGGAACACTAGGAGTAGGAAAGGCATTTTCTCAGTCTCAAATGTTATGCACAAAGATGTGGTATTTCTCCAAATGTTTAGCAAGGCATAATTTTTTCTGTTGTTTGTCACTGAATTTAGAAATTACAGTCCACTAATGATTCCATTAGAGAAGGGATTTGGCCTGTATGTATTGTCTTATTTGTTGTCATAGGGATACAAATTTCCTTCTTCTGTTAGAAACAATGTTGTTTTTTTCCTTCCTCTTGCTCTTGTAGCATTTTTGTAATTGCATATTTTGTAGCTAAAGGATCTGGGAGAAATAAGAATGGATGTTACTAGAATTATTAACAATACCAGAGAAAAACAAGCCCTACACTGTTACAAGGGTGGGTTTGAAGGTTTGGAGGATCAATGAGTGCTGCATCAAGAATGGTGGAAATACTGATTTTTTTTTCCCCAAGTCTTTTAGCATTGAAAAACTTATTCCTCCTAGTCTACTATTTACTAGTTAATTGTGAAACTGAATAGAAGTGTAAACTCGGGGAAAAAAGCTTGTGCTACCTGCTTTGCTAGTTACAGTTTTAATATCATCCTCCAGATAATGTACTTAGCCTATAGGAATTGATTCTCTCTTGGCTGTCTGCTGTGGAAAAATTCCAGTTAGCCTTTGTCTTTTGGTTTTGCTGGTATTTTCTGCATAGCAGCCCTGTACTGTCTCTACAAAATCAGTAAAATTATACATAAGCAAAAAAACTCCAAAGCTGTTACAATAGAAGATGCCTTTTTTTGGTGTTGCTTGAGACTTCTGGGAAAAATGAGGTAGAATTTAAATCAGTTTTGCTTCAGGAGTCCCGCAAGAATGCTACTGATAACATTTTTCTGTAGTAGATTCCCTGATTTATCTTTAAATAGATTTTTTCCGACCTTGGTAATCCATCAGTGATCTGGACAAGGCTGGCTATTTCTGCAGAGACTTCATACTTATTTATTTGATCCTGTTCTTTCTGGTGAACCTGAGATGAAGTCCTGGTTATGTTTCTCTCTACCAGGCAGGCATTGAAAATCCAAATTATTAGTGTCTGTCATAATAGTGTCCTTTAGCATCTGTAATTTGATTTGTGAAAGGATACTAAATATGAGTTTCCTACAGAGACCATATAATTGCTTTGAAGTCTGCCATTTAGTTTGAGTTCTGGTTCTCAATCTCTGCTTACAGACTCTAAAACAGACGTAACTTGTATTATTGAACATATTTCTGTCTTATTTTATTTGTAGAATGTGTTTTTGCAAGTAGCAAATGAGTTCCTTCTTAGATGCATTCACAATTCTTATTGAATATAGGGGGATTGTCTTAATTTTGTTTATATCACTTCTTGGATTTTTTGTTGTGGGAGTTATTTTTTTGGCAAGTTATTTTTATTTTCCTGTAAGTGTATGGCAGAGGTGCAGTTGTCTTCATTTCTACTGAAGCATTAATCACTTAGATGGAAGAGAATATTTGATTACAGCGTAACTCAACTCCTATCTAACACCATTCCTTATTTCTTTATTTGCTTTTTTCTCCTTCCACTCTCTGTTGCAGCTACCACCCTGGCCAATGTGAATGGGTGTATTGCCCTGGAGATGCCATATCTTCTGTTGCAACATCCGAGAAGAGCACAGGAAAAATATTCATATATGATGGCCGAGGAAATAACCAGCCACTTCATGTTTTTGATAAACTCCATACATCCTCGCTTACTCAGATACGGCTGAACCCTGTCTACAAAGTAGTTGTGTCTTCTGACAAGTCTGGGATGATCGAGTACTGGACTGGTACACCTCACGAATATAAATTCCCCAAGAATGTGAACTGGGAGTATAAAACAGATACTGATCTATATGAATTTGCTAAATGCAAGGCTTACCCATCCAGTATAAGTTTTTCACCTGATGGCAAGAAAATGGCCACTCTTGGGTCTGACAGAAAAGTTAGAATTTTTCGTTTTCTGACGGGGAAGCTTATGAGAGTCTTTGACGAATCTCTGAGTGTGAGTTTTGTCTTGTTTCCCTTTCTTTAAGATGTTTTCTGTACTTATTTGAATTTCTTTGCCAGCACATTCACTGAAGTTATCATTTGTTTCTAAAGGGAACTTCCTTCCTATATTTTTCTTGTAGAAAAGGCCTTCCATGTTCTCTTCCTTGCCCCTTGTATTGCTTTGTCCCAAATGAATTCTTGCAGATTTATGTTACTTAAGTAGTGAAACAGGTGTTGATTTTCATCTGTGTTTTCATACATACTACATTTTACTAGAAAGCAATTACAGAGAATTTCAAATAATATTGCACACCTTTCTTTGCTTAAAGTACTATAACATGCCTATTGCATCATGAAAAAAAGAAAACATTACTTGTATTTGTTTAAATTCTTCAGTTGAGTGGAGTAGTCTCAGTTGAATTTGGTATTTTCTAATCACATGGATTAGGGTTTTGCTGTATAAAAAGTTTAAAATATGTTAAATATAATAGTGATGTGGAGTTTTTTTCTGTAGATGTTTACTGAACTTCAGCAGATGAGACAGCAACTACCAGACATGGAGTTTGGCCGACGTATGGCAGTTGAGCGTGAGCTGGAGAAAGTGGATGCAGTAAGATTAATTAATATAATTTTTGATGAAACTGGACACTTTGTTCTCTATGGAACAATGTTGGGCATTAAGGTCATCAATGTAGAGACTAACAGGTAAGTTCCAATGACACACATTGAGATAACATTTCTGTTTCAAAGTCTGTATTCAGTCACATTTGTAGCATATTTGAAACTTGATATGGCTATGGAGGTCTCTAAACTTTTTGTGCTGTTTGGGAGCCTTACATTAGACTGTAGAGAAGATAGCCCCATGCTTTATAATGAGTTGTTGCAGATTAATGCTTAGTAAAATAAGGACAAAACATGGCAGGCAGATGTGTATTAAAAATGTGTAACCTATTAATCTCTGGCTAACTGGATGGGATAATGTAAAGTAAATGTGGATCATTTAGTTGGGATTTTATTACATATGGAGGCTGACTGGTAAATTAGGTAGCAAGTTTGAATAGAGAAACATCTTAATTAATAAATAATTACTTGGAGAGGATTTGAGAATTTTGCTCTAAGTCCTGCAGTCAGAAAGGAGACATTCTCTGACTGTGAGCAGCTGACAGTAGTTACACCTCTTTACATCTTGTACTTCAGGTGCATTCGTATCTTGGGAAAGCAAGAGAACATCAGAATGATGCAACTAGCTTTATTCCAAGGAGTGGCAAAGAAACATCGTGCTGCAATCACTATAGAGATGAAAGCATCTGAAAATCCTGTTCTCCAGAATATCCAGGCAGATCCGACAGTCGTCTGCACAGCTTTTAAAAAAAATAGGTTTTACATGGTGTGTGCGGTTTCTATTTAAATTCTTGTATTGATGTTTTCTCTACATTATTTTTTGATTTTTTCCTTGCACCTTTCTAGTGCTTTTTGTCTTGAGTATTTGCTACAAATCTTTTCTAGAGGAGCCCCTTTATACTGCAAGTAAATTCTGGAATTTTTAGCTTGAACTATGTATACATTGGCTAGAAATAGCTTTAATTTTTTCACATTGGTCAAGCAGTTAAATAAATGGGGGTCGTTTTGGCTATCCAAATTTTTATTCTCCAAGAAGATGATATCCTTTTGTTCTAGTTTAAAAAAATAAAGAACATCTAAAAAAACTAACCGGATTTTATAAAGAAACAATAATTAACTGTATGTATAAAAAATGTAATAGAAAAAAAATTCAGACCAGCATCAGGACTTGGTAGCAATACAGACATAGCAGGCAACCAAGAAAGATAGGAGTCATTTTCCTGTTCACAATTTGGTTTTTAGGTGAGATGCAATTAAGAAGCCAAACAGACAAGCAAGTCCAGAGTAGGTAGTAGTTGATTTGATAGATGATAGCCATAAAGGTTAGAGATTGGTCTGTCTGTTATGACTTAAATTTGCTGGTTGTCTAGAGTTTTGTATTAATGTAGTATTGGAATAAGAGGATTTAGTTTGAATTTTTTAGGGCACCTAAAACTTTTGGCATGAAACCTGGCAAATTTGTCTGAGTATAACAGAACAACCTGACATTCTCTGCTCCTTTTAAAAGAAAAAGTGCTGAAATACTGAGGAGTTCCTGTTCAAAAGGGGAGGAAGTCTAAAGATAATAGATTATAAAAAGTTACTTGGGATTTGCATGTAGTTGTACTGGAATTTGTCACTGTGAAAATGCTGGTAACGCACAGCACTGGAATGCAAGGATACACTGTCTATGAATTGTCTTCCTACATTTCAAGTTGAATTGGATGTTTAGCAGGTTGAATAATGACACTGATTTCTTGGGCACTGAGCAGTGTGTAAGATAAGGGGAAAAAAAGAGATAAGCAAGCAGTTAACCTTCTATTCTTTTGTTCTTCAGTTTACTAAACGTGAACCAGAAGATACAAAGAGTGCAGATTCTGACAGAGATGTATTTAATGAGAAACCTTCTAAAGAAGAGGTCATGGCAGCCACTCAGGCAGAAGGTCCCAAAAGAGTCTCAGACAGTGCCATCATCCACACAAGCATGGGAGATATTCATATCAAGCTTTTTCCTGTTGAGTATGTATTTGGTAGTTTTTCTCTTGTTTTGATTTTGTTCCTTTTGTTCCTTTTGTTTTTGTTCCCCTGTCCCTGGGGTTGCAATATCCAAGACTTATATTTCAAGCTAGGAATAGTTATTTTCTTTCTTGGTTTTGACTGTCCTTGTTTCTTGACAGTTTCTTAATACATCAAGCTAGGAATGTGACTCTCGATGAATACAAAGTAGGGTTAAAATAGGTCTAAATAACAGTTTGGGGCACAGGAGTTTTTTAAATTCCATTTTGTTTTATTTAGTTATTGGTTCAGGGGGACTGTTCCTTTCTTAACTTTTGTTCATTCCTCCAACTGCAGATGTGGAGGGGTCACCATACTCTTCTGTGTAAGCTACGTATTAGTGTAAGGCAGAGCTGTTTGGTACCATCTGGAAAAAAGTGATGTTGGCAACAGCAGAACATTTGGCAGGAGGTCTGTGCAAGCCACAGGAATAGTAGTTGCAACTTCAAAATGTGGGCAGAGTACTACATTTTATGTTATTGCAGGTCCTTTAAGAGCAGTATAACATTTATATATCAGCATATAATATTAGTGCTGTGTCTATCCAAAACAAGGCACAAAATTGAAATAGTTTTATGCATGCCAATTGCTAAAGTTAGTATGTCAGCATCTCTGCTTTGTGATGCAAAAATTGCAAATTTTTTTTAATATTAGTAAATTTATGTAATATAGTATATTGCCATACACAGAAACTTAAACCATGTAGATGTAGGCCACGCTTCTCGAAAAACAAGTTCGTGGTTTGTCCTAAGCACAGGTGAGGTAACACAACCTCAATTCTGCCCTGTAGGGCTATCAGAGTTTTACTGCTCTCTTCACCAGTCTTTCCTTGCATCAGGACCTAGTTTCTGGAATTTGTAATTGTAGTCTATAGGTTGCAGTAATGGTAAAGCCCTTGCTGGTGAGTGACAGGCCAAGCTACAATATTTCTGATTTTCTAGTTAATTCTCATGCCAGTGTATCACTATATTTACACATACAGTATTGCTAGGTGCTTCACTGCAATGTTTTGTGTGCAATTTTAAATTAAATACGGCATTGCCAGAGTTGCTTATTGTTAAGTTTGTCCTTTCTTGTTTTCTAGTATTTTCTCCCAGCTGAGCTTTGAATTTAAAATCTCTTTAATGTGATTAAAACTCTAAGGAAGAGCATATAGGATATAGGTTTGTATGCTGTTTAAGTCTTTGGCCGTTTTGTTGTGAAATGAAGTTGTGAATGACTAAGTGCTGCTCAGCAAGAACTGGGACTATAATCTTGTCTGTTCCTTTAGTTATATCACTGGTGCTGTTTTTCATAAGATAGTCTGGAGTGTCATTAAAACCCAAGATAATGTTCCTTGTCACAGGTAGAGTAACTCTAGCTATAGAGAGTTTCTTATAGTTTCTCAGCCGTTTTCTCATTATTGGGAAAATGGGTGACTGTAAACTTGTCAGTGTAAATCTACCTTGGCTACTAATGCATTTCAAAAAAATAGCAGAAGAGCTACTACAAAGAATTTTCACTCCGGTAGCATCTCTCAGAAATAAAAAATCAAGTCACAGAAGTTGAAGGGGTTGTCCCTTTTTTTCCATGAACAGTAATATTCCACCTCTTCACGAAACGATGTTAACAAGTAGTTTCAGAGAAGGAAAACTGTGCTGACTGCAAGTTCTATAATATTAAAACATTTTATTTTTAGAGTTTTACTTGTTTGCAACACTGGACACCTTGCATGTGTATCTTAAAAGAAATGTAGAGGTAAAAGAGTGAACAGCTTTCTGCTTATGGAGCATACAGAGTTTATTTACAAAATTATTAGTCTAAGTAGAAAGCTGGGAAACCTCTAATCAATTGTTCCTTGAACTAGGCCTTGAGGAGATAATTCATTTTCTGACTGTCATGGTTTAACCCCCAGCCAGCAACTAACCCCCCCACAACTGCTTGCTTGCATCCCTCTTGTAGGGATGGGATGGGGAGAGTAGGAATAAGAAAACTTAGGGCTGAGGTAGAGGCAGTTTAGTTGGGAAAGCAAAAGCCACGCACACAAGCAAAACAAGGAATTAATTCACCACTACCCATGGACAGGCAGGTGTGCCACCATTTCCCAGAAAACAGGGCTCCATCATATATTACTTGGGAAGGCAAAACGCCATCACTCCAAGTGTCCCCCACTTCTTCCCTCAGTTTTTATATGCTGAACGTGATGCTGTATGGAATGGAGTGCCCCTATGGTCAGTTGGGGTCAGCTGTCTCAGCTCTGTCCCCTTGCAACTCCTTGTGCAGCCCCAACCTCCTCGCTGGTGGGGTGGGGTGAGGAGCAGAAAAGGCCTCGACACTGTGCTACTCAGCAACAGCTTAAACATCCCTGTGTTGTCAACACTGCTGCTGCCTTCCTGTGTAATCATTCAACTTTGTACTCCTCAACATTTTGCTTTCAGCTCTGGGTTTGAGAAGGTGGAGGATCTGTTTTTCCCTATTTGATGAAAGCTCTTTCTACACTGAGCTGAAACACTGCTCAGCACAACAGGATCTTAGTCTCAACTGAAATCCTTATGGCCTTATCACCAGACAAATATTTATTGTAGCCATTGTTTTCTGTTATATGATTTTAGGTGCCCCAAAACAGTGGAAAACTTCTGTGTGCACAGCAGGAATGGCTATTACAATGGACACATAATTCACCGTATCATCAAGGTAACTTGTAGCAAGTTAATTTTTTGTTGGTTTAGATAATGTTACCCTAGTGGTCAGTCCTCTTTGCTAACCCTTTCATTCCCTTTTTGCAAAGAGGATTTTTGGAGTGGCTTTAGAATTCCCTATAAAGTCTGAAGACCTCTGATGTTCTAAACAGCTTAATCACTTACTAAAGTTGTTTAATAGTTGTACTGCAACTAAAAGGTGGCAGAAAACTGAAAGATAAGTTCAGTTATCCTGCTTGAATTAAGACTTTGTTTCATGTCAGAAGGCATTTCTTGTACGGCTTCTTATTTCTGCTGCACCAAATACAGCCAAAGTGTTTGCAGAAGGTACAGTCAGGTTTCTGTCCTCTACTAGCAGGAACAGTGAGTGAGAAAAGAGAACTTGCTTTTTCACAAGTTGACTTGATTATCACTTAAAAGAGCCTTAAATGCTTTGTCTCTTATCCACAGCATTTTAACATTTACGTTTTGTTGCCAGGTTTGAAGTAGGTTTGAAAAAATGTCACCTGGCATAAAACACTTTTAGTTATTTATTTTATGCGATGATGTAATAACAAAAAATTTCTATGCAGGGTTTCATGATTCAGACTGGTGACCCAACTGGTACAGGAATGGGAGGTGAAAGTATTTGGGGAGGAGAATTTGAAGATGAGTTTCATTCAACTTTACGACATGACAGACCATACACACTCAGCATGGCTAATGCAGGACCAAATACCAATGGATCTCAGTTTTTCATAACAGTAGTGCCAACTGTAAGTAATATTAAAAGCTGAATTTAAGGCACGAGAGGCTAACTTGATAGTAAAAAATACTGTTTTTCTGATGGGAAAAGGATCGCGCTAGTACTATCTAAATAATCTTTCCTTAATATTTTGCAAATAAATGCTGCACACCATGATGTATACTGTGTGGGGTTCACTGAAAGCATGCCTGAAGAAATAGAAAAGTATTTCTCTGAGTTGTGAACAAGAGGCCTTTTGCCTTTAATTGGAGTAAGGGTGATAAAACATTCTTAGGCATGTTTGCAATTATGTATCCCAGTAGCAGTGATTTAAACTTGATGGAAATCTAGGTATTGTGTAGATTGTTTAGGGTTTGGATATAGTGCCAGGATGTCTCATTAAGTGTAGCTAATTGTAGCTATACAAAGATGCCATTGTTCAGGTTTGAAGATTTCCTTTGATCTGTGTATAATTTCAGAGCCCAAAATAGAAATTTTGGTATGTGAGTCTAAGAGATACAAGACAATTTCTTAAAGGTAACATGTATTTTTAAACACTTATTCAAAATCCAGTGTCTTTTCTTGAAAAAAAAAGCACGTATCTGCCATAGTTTTGAGGTTTGTTAAGGTCTGTCAGTGCCTATATTGAAATTGGGCATACTTTATGAAAATGACTTTGAATTAAGCAGTATTCTGGAATGGCACTTCAAATTCTTCTGTGAAAATAGAGAGACTGAAACAGCACATCTATGAACTGAGAATACACTTTAAAATAAATTATACAATGCTACTGCATTGGTAGAATGTGACCTCTGTAGTACTTTGAGAAAACAATTGAAAAGGTAAGTTCAAATGAGTGTGTATTAACTGCGCCCCAGTATTTACTTGCATGCTGGTATTTACGTGGTGTTAGATTCCATAGTCTAGACATACAAAATGTATCCATGTGTACTCACTCTCTTTCTGTTTTGGTACCTAACCTACATGATGCTTTCTGTATTAACATGATTTTTCTTTCTTCTCTGCTCTCTAACAGCCATGGCTAGACAACAAGCACACTGTGTTTGGACGGGTGACTAAAGGAATGGAAGTTGTTCAGAGAATCTCAAATGTAAAAGTCAATCCAAAAACTGACAAGCCCTATGAGGATATCAGCATCATTAATATCACAGTGAAGTAAGGCAGGCCTTGAAGGTTCCTGCTTAAGCAGAAAAAACTGAACGTATGGGACCCAGAAAGGGACCTAGAAAAAACAGAAACGTTTTAAATAATTCCTAGATATAGTGAGTACCAAGACAGAGCAATCACCAGTTCTACAATTTTTAATGTACCTAAAGTGCCCTAATTCTGTATTTCTGATAACTCTGTATTTTAAAGTAAAAACATTATGCATGTTTCTTATGAACTCTACTGTCTTTCTTCATCTTCCATGCAAAACTAAAGATAAAAACCCCCACTGTGTTCCATGATAGTGTTTCTAACTTGGTCAGGTTTACATGGCATCTTTTATTTTTAATTAATTCTTTTTTTAATACTTTTCACAGTATTGAAATCTTTGACAGAGGAAAAGGTCAGAAATCCTAAACTGCATAAACTCTTCAATCCTATGTCCATGTATCAAAAATTAGATTATGATACTGTTTGCTATGACAAGCAAACAATGTAATCTACCTCTGTTCTTTAAAACTGCTTGTGTCCATGTCTTCTCTGTCCAAGAGCAATGATCAACTCTTAGAATGCCAGTGCATAAAGTCCTGTGCAATTTGTTTGGTGTTGCCAATGAATTTTTTTCTTTAAGTGTTTTTTTCTCATTGTATTAGCATAGGGAGTCTCTTACCTGGCTTCATTTTTACTGAAGTCCTACAAACATGATTGCTTCTACTGAAATGCTTACTTTAAAATAAATTATGGTAATAATCTCAATTAAGCTTTATGTCAGGTGATTCTGATGCAGTTAGAGAACAGAATCATAGAATCATTAAGGTTGAAAAAACCCTGTAAGATCAATAGGTCCAACTGTTAACCCAGCACCACCACCACCTTCACCATTAAACCATGTTCCAGGTGCCACAGCCATATGTTTTCTGAACACTTCCAGGGATGGTGTCTCCACCACTTCCTGGGCACTCTATTCCAATGCCTGACCACATGTCAGTGAAGAAATTTTTCCCAATATCCAATGGTATTTTGAGGCCATTTCCTCTTGTCATGTCACTTGTTATCTGGGAGAAGACACCAACACATACCTGTCCACACATCCTTTCAGGGAAGTTTAGAGAGCAATAACATCTCCCCTGAACCTCCTTTTCTCCTCAGCCGCTCCTAGTAAGACTTGTGCTCCAGACCCTCCACCAGCTCTGTTGGTCTTCTCTGGACATGCTCCAGCACCTGAACACAGGATTCAAGTTGTGGCCTCACCAGTGCCGCGTACAAAAGGGCCAATCACCGCCTTGGTCCTGCTGGCCACACTTGCTCATCCAGGCCAGGATGTCATTGGCCTTCTTAGCCACCTGGGCACATGCTGGCTCTTGTTCAGCTGCTGTCCACCATCACCCCCAGGTCCTTTTTGCTGGGCAGCTTTCCAGCCATTACCTCATACCATTGACCTCAGCCCATGATCCAGCCTGTCCAGATCCCTCTGCAGAGCCTTCCTGCCCTCCAGCAGATCAAGACTCCCACCCAACTTGGAGTCATGTGCAAACTTACTGAGGGTGCGCTCTATATTAAACAGGACTGGCCCGAGTGCTGAGCCCAGGGTGACCAGCTGCCAGCTCGATGTAACTCCATTCACCACCACTCTCGGGGCTTGTCCATTCAGCTAGTTTTTTACCCAGTGAAGAGTGCACCTGTCCAAGCCATTAGCTGTCAGTTTCCCCACAGCTACGTGGGAGGCAGTGTCAAAGGCTTTACTAAACTCCAGGCAGACAACATCCACAGCCTTTCCCTCACCCATTAGGCGGGTCACCTGGTCAAGCAGCACCTATGCTGGCTGATCTCAATTGTCCTCCACATACCATGTGATGGACTCAGGATGAGCTGCTCCATAACCTTCACTGGCATCAAGGTTAGATGGACAGATCTGTAGTTCCCTGGACCCTTCTTTTGACCCTTGTAGATGGGAGTTAAAATTGCCAAATTTCAGTCACCTCCCCAGTTAGCCAGGACTGCTGGTAAATGATTGAAAGTGTCTTGATTAGGTCTCTTGGTGAAATCTCTCCGCCCAGTTTCATCAGTACCCTTAATGGATCTCATCCGGTCCCATAGACTTGCAGGTGTCTTAACTGATGTAGCTGGTCACTAACCATTTCTTCCTGGATTACGGGGGCTTCATTTTGCTCCCTATCCCTGTCTTCCAGTTCAGGGGACTGGAGACCCTGAGGACAACTGGTCTTACTGTTAAAGACTGAGACAAAGAAGGCATTAAGTATCTCAGCCTTTTCCTCATTGGTCGTCACTGTTTTCCCCTGCATTCAGTAAAGGATGAAGATTCTCCTTCGCCCTCCTCTTGTTGCTGATGTACTTGTAAAAACATTTTTGTTGTCTTTTCCAGCAGTAGTCAGATTAGGTTCTAGCTGGGCTTTGGCCCTTCTGATTTTCTCCCTGCATAACCTCACAACATCCTTGGAGTCCTGGTGAGTTGACTGCCCCTTCTTGCAGACGTCATACACTCTCTCTCCCCGAGTTCCAGCTAAAGCTTTCCATTGAGGCAGGCCAGACTTCTTACCCACTGGCTCATCTTTCAGCACATGGGGACACCCTGCTTCTGCACCTTTTTAGGATTTCCTTCTTGAACAATGTTCTGCCTTCCTGGATTCCTTTGGTCTTCAGGACTGACCTCTAAAAGGACTCTCAATTAGTTTGCTAAACAGGCCATAGTCTGCCCTCTGAAAGCCCAAGGTGGAAGATCTGCTGCCTTCTCTCCTTCTCCAAGAAGCAAAACCTTATTTGTGATCTCTCTACCCAAGAGAGCCTCTGACCAGCCCTCTGCTCACAAACAGCAGGTCCTCAGTGAAAGCTCAGACAACTCCTCAAACTGTTGCCAATCTGTCTAGATACAGTCCTGTTACTACGCTGCATAGTTAAGTCTACTCTAAAAACAGTAATATTTGCCTTGGGTGTTATGTTCACATAGCACCACTGCACTCATAAAAGACTCAAGAGTTTACAGTTCTGGTAACTTAATTTATGAATTGAGATATGATGCATGATAATCAAAGTCAGTCTTTCAAAAGTTGCTGCTGCCACCAGGAAGTTTACCTTTAGTGAGATAAAGGATCTTCATGGATAATTTAGAAAAATTCTACAGTAAGTTAAATGTAGCACACCTCTAATTTGAGATGACCTTAAAAAATCCAAAAGGCAAGTTTATTAAAGTTAGCTCTCAAGGGTTTACATACTTTTATTGAAAAGAAATAATTTTCTGGGCAACTCAAATTTAAGCAGCTCCACTAAAAAAGCCCTTTCTTTCAAAAAATTTACATAACATCCACATCTACTCCAACACTCTCAGAAGCAAACCCTCATAGTCCACAATAACTTTGAAGGTAGAATACAGAAAGACTATACCAAGTGATAAAACATTACTTTTCAGTTAGCCTAACCGTAACCATACTGTTTTCGAGATGATATTCTTTAAAGAAAGCCACAACACAGTCACTGGATGTTGCATTTACTCAATTTCAGAATTAAGTCAAAATCATTTGAGAAGTCATTCAGTCTTTTCAGACAATCCTCACGGTTAGTAATGCTTGAGTGAGTTCTAGTTGAGGAAATATTCCAATTACATATTGCATAAGTCAGTACACTAAAAACTAAAGTTCAGTAAAATTGAGGAAACAAGCTTAAATTTATAACTGAAGCAGTATACAAATAAACCTCTTAGTGCACCTGTTTACACCAAAGAGTTCACAGACAAATGTAACACCTTCACAGTTACTTCAAATCATCTTAAATAAATTCAGTTTAAAAACACGGTAGCATTCCATATGTCACAAGCAACCACTTGTACTCAAAAATATGCATGAGTGAGAATTTTTCCTCTGCCCTCAAAATAATGTTACATCAAATCCAAACTAGCCACCTTGAATATTTTGAAATAGAACTGAGCAGCATGTGTAAGTGAAGCCTAAGTCAGCTAAAATAAAACAACAGAATCAGGATTTTTCTAAAGAATGCATGTCTTCTGTTAAAAATATTCCAGGAAAAGGTATCGACCATACTTGGCAGAACTTGTCTGTATTTCAAAAAGAGTTGTGAAAAGAGCTGTGAAGGGATAGTAAGCCCTAACTAGGCAGGGGTTGCTCCGCAGTAGAGGCTAAGCAGATGCTCAAGTCAGAGCAGCCAACTGTGTATCATTCAAGAAGTTACAGGCTGGAAAGGAGGAACAGTTTAAAGTTTGGTAGGTGCAAAAAAACCCACCTTTTACTCTGTTATAAGCTATTTCTAAATATATCAGCTTGTCTGAAGAAAGACTGTCTCAGTACCTATGTAGGCACTGAAATTCATTTCGCAAACATTATACTACTTTGAAGCTTAGTGTTCTTTCAGGTACTATTCAAGTCATTAGACTTGCTGAATCTGAAGCTGCATTTAACACCATTTACCTGAAGTTTAAGTAACAAGAGAAAAATACAAATAAGTGATATTACGAGGAAGTAGTTACCTCAACTGCTTCCACCTGAAGAAAAGTGCAAGTGTACTAAAACTATTTGTTTATACATTCTTGGCTTTACCTAAGGTATGCAGTAGGAAACCAAAGTGACAATGAAAGCCATAGCCACAGATAATGGGATACACTTTCTTTGCCCCGTGAGGTTCAGAGCTCTCACAGGTAAGCACACTTTCCAGTGTGGCAAAAATATCTCCACATCTATGGAACACTGTTCACTTCCACAGTTCGGTCTCCTGATTCATCTCTACTCCAGTAAGAAAAGTGATGATACACAGTTTTGATCTATTGGTCATGCTCTTTGTAGCTCCTCTACTAACACGAAGAGGGTCCATGGCATGGTTTCTTCAACTGGCAGTGGCCATGTACTAAAAGACAAGGGCAGAAAGTTCTGGTGCACATACCAGACAGATAAAATTGTTAGCAGAGTTGCATGTCCAGCAGAAAAACCGACATCATAAGTCATTGCAACCTTCTCTAAATTTAAACAGCACTACACCCATATCTCATGGGTTTGTGAATGAGTAATCTTCAAAAACAGAGGCATTGGTAACAATTCCATGTAGAAGATACAAAGAATTGAATATCTAATTACGGAAGGTTTATATCACATTTTACTATCTACTCTTTTAAATAAGAGTTATAATTAATGTACACTGGTTTTCCATTATGTTATTGAATATTTTAAGGCCACTACCTTAATCTGGAAGCATGACTTCTACATAAAAGTACCTGGC